TTCTCCTGCCTCAGCCTCCCGAGTAGCTGGGATTACAGGCATGTGCCACCACACCTGGCTATTTTTATATTTTTAGTAGAGATGGGGTTTCTCCATGTTGGTCAGGCTGGTCTCGAACTCCTGACCTCAGCTGATCCATCCGCCTCAGCCTCCCAAAGTGCTGGGATTATAGGCGTGAGCCACCGTGCCCAACCAATCTCTTCATTTTAATAGGCATCCCTACACTGAGTGCGGTGGCTCATGCCTGTAATCCCAGTACTTTGGGAGGCTGAGAAGGGGAGGTCGCTTGAGCCCAGGAGTTCAAGACTAGCCTGGGCAATATGGCAAAACCCCATCTTTACTAAAATACAAAAAATTAGCCAGGCGTGGTGGAGCACAACTGTAGTCCAAGCTACTCAGGAGGCAGAGGTGGGAGGATGGGTTGAGCCTGGGAAGTCAAGGCTGCAGGGAGGCATGATCACACCACTACACTCCGGCCTGGGCGACAGAGTAAGACTGTCTCAAAAAAAAAAAAAAAAGGACCCCTCTGGAGGCTGTGTTGACTATGGGGAGGGCAGGGCATAGTCCAGATTTAAATATAACTAAAATGAAAGTTTTATGAGATAATACTTCCCCTTTTAATACAACACTCTGATTTTTTTTTTCCTGTTTTGAAAATGCTGAGCATTGAAGTGCTGCTTTCCATCATCCCGTCGTAGCAGATGCCTTTTTATGGCAGGGGAAATGTACTTCCCCTTAACTTTGGGCTTTTGCTTGTCCTATGGGTTGTTAGCTGACTTGATACAAGTTTTGAAAGTATGCTTGCACGGATGGGTTTACCTTCTTGCCCTTCTCTCTTGAGAAGCACCCTGTTGGCCCAAGGACAGGATGAAGGACAAATAGAGCAGGCCTAGACACAACCTGCAGCTTGAAGCCAAGCCCAGAAGAGCCCTGCCTTAGATCAGTGAAATCCCAGCCAACTCAGGCATATAAGCAAGAAATAAAGATTTGCTGTGTACCACCGAGACGTCATAGTAATTGCACACGACTATTGAGAATGCAGCTGATTGAGCAAACCCCAAGCTGGTTTTATGATAGGTTGTGACCTGGAGTTGAAAAGATACCTCTCCACACCACTCAGGTGAGGGGCCAGAAGAGCAGCCTTCTGGGAATGGGACCTACATGTGGAATAGACGCTCACAGAGCACAGCCATTGTAAGAATCCAAGTTCGCTCAGACAAGGCCAGGCATGGTAGCTCATGCCTATAATCCCAACACTTTGGGAAGCCAAAGTGTGAGGACTGCTTGAGGCCAGGAGTTCAAGACCAGCCTGGGCAACATAGGAAGATCCTGTTTCTACACAAAAAAAGTTTAAAAAAAAAAAATTCCCTCAGATATGCCTGAAGAAACATGGAGGCCATATTCAAAGGGAGAAAAGAAGCATACTTCATGTGTTATAGATGACCAAATTAATAAAGCTCTTCCATTAGCCACATCCATCCTACAGACCTGGAACTTTGTGCAATTAAATTGTGACACCTTAGTGATAACTTAGAAAAAATCCCACATGGCCGGGCGTGGTCTCACACCTGTAATCTAGCACTTTGGGGAGGGGGGAGAGGGGCGGATCCACGAGGGTCAGGAGATCAGGGCACATCTGGCGAACACGTGTAAACGCTGGGCTTACTAAAAACAAAAATTAGCCGGGCGTGGAGGCGGGCGCCTTTAAGTCCAGCTACTGGGGAGGCTGAGGCAGGAGAATGGCGTGAAAGGAGGCGGAGCTTGCAGTGAGCCAGATCGCGCCACTGCACTGCAGCCTGGGCGACAGAGCGAGACTCCGTTTCCAAAAAAATAAATAAATAATAAAGAAAGAAAGAAAATAAATCCACACAGGGGAGAGATGAATTCCTCTAACAGCCTCCCAACTCCATCTTAGTTATGTTCTATAGGCAAAGGGGATGGAGGGAGAACAGAGACATTACACTTACCAAGGATGCTCCTAGAATGTTAATTGGAAATCAGATGTGTTTTTGTCACTAGAATTCCATTTCATACACTCTGAATTAAAAGGAATCATAAGTGCACCCTTGCATAAAGTCAATCATCAACTAATCCGTTTCAGGAATTCAACATTTTGTAATTATTGTGAGCAGTTGAAGAAGGCTTACTAACTGAAGAAAAGTTTGAAGTCTAAAATGTCCCGCAGAAGTTGCCACCAAATTGGCAAGCAAATCGTTTTCTGTTAAGGAAATCTAAACATAAACGTGATTCCTTCTGCCCGGGATGCTTCCATAATGAGAGTACGTTAAGTCAAAGCCCCTGCCAAATAAACAATAAACGCACACTATCCAATAGCAAGAGTAAACCAAAAAATTCTACAAGTGCCTACCCAACCATACCCAGACTCTCCTTGAAACCTTCTTCCTGGAATCCAACTAGAATAATGCAAGAGGATTCACTATATCAGGTGCAGTGTGCAAAGGCTCATGTGGATCTCATGCTGCAAAATGCAAGCCACAGTTGAAACATGGAGTCTAGTCAGGTTTCTGTTAGGTTCCTTTCATCTTTCTCATGTTTGGAAACAGGCAGACTTGAGTCCAAATACCTGTCTGCTATGTATTCACTCTGTGACCATGCGCAAGCTACTCATCCTCTTAGAATATAGTTAGTGAGGACTATATTTACCTTATAGAGTGAATGGAGGAGTAAGTGATCATTTGTATATAAAACCCAGTACAACAGTTATGCATGATGGGTGCTCAATAAACAGTACTTTTAAAATTTATTCCCGAATGTGCATTTTATGAAGGGAGAGATGGGGAGATTATTAATACCCCCTATTATCTTTCAGTCAATGAGGGAAGATTCTCAGTAGACCCAAGATTGAGCTCTGACCCTTAAAAGACAACAGTGATGGATGACTGAGTGTATTATTTGACTGGTAACTACATACCTGTTCCACCTCCTCCAAGTTGTCAGTCACCTGCTTATTAATTTCTTCCCTGCCTTAATTCACGAGACATGAGGTGGCTTGTAGGAAACAAGCAGAACAATAGTAAACTATAAACTGAACATAAAACACTAGGATAGGGAAATCTAAAATTGGAATTATAGACTGGCTGGAAACATTATACACAAATAAGTAGGCTACTGGGTTTTATATAAATTCCAGAGTTAAGCCAACAATTTGGTTCTGTGCTGCTTCCTTATCAAAATAAAAATGGAAACACAGTCAATAATCCTCATTGTCATGAAAAGAAAACATGACTTCGCAAAGAATGTAATAGGATGATTAACTGCATCATTATGTGAAATGCACGGATGAGTTTTATAAGAATATTTCCTGTATCTTCCAATGAAAAAGAACAGAATTCCAAAACACAACTCCAAGAAGGCTGTCCAGGGTACCACACTAATTACCTTCCTGATGCCCAATCTCTAGCAACAATGGAATGGTTGGACCATGTATTCTTCCCAGACTCCTCAGAATTCCTTCATTTAACAAGGTTGGTACCTATCAGAACTGGAACTGTATATGGCTTGATGTTATACTGGTGCACGATCCACAATTGCAAAAATACAAATTGTTGAGAAAACAAGTGTTTGTAACTCATTTTACAACACAACTGATCTGACTCAAATGACCTGCACTAATATGAGGCTATTTCTAGTCCTTTTCTCACAATGTATATATTCATACATCTTACTGCAGAAATACTCAATTATTGATTACATGCTGCTGTCCTAGACTCAGTCAGGGGTGTTTTCTAACATATAGACTATACCATAAATGTCTATATACTATATATGCCTTTCTAAAACCCAAAAAATAATTCTAGATTCGGAAACACATCTGGTCCCAAAGACTTTGGAAAAGGAACTGTGGACCTGTATTCTCTAATAAACCTTAAAATATTGGTACGATTTAGCGTAAGGGTGAAGAATATCTGTATAACTCAGATATGAAATGAACCACTGGTGGAGCAGATCCTTTGTACAAATTAAAAAGCCTAATCAATAGGCAGCTATTCTGCCTCCAAAATGAGGTAAACTGGGACCAAGATGATGTAGTCCATGCCTTGGATTCCTATACATCTGGGCCACATTTAACATTTTCTGGAAGGCCATGAGTCACTATGGCAGTTTTGGGTGGGGGTGAGGGGTTGTTGGTTTTGAATCCTACAATAGGCATCATTTTTCCTATCTCAGTGTCATATGCAGGTATGTGTCCACCATAAGAATGATTCTGAGTCTAGAAATGAATTACCTAGCAAGCTTTAAAAAACACTGTTGCCTGGGGTTTCACCTCCCAGAAATACCAATTTAGTTGGCTTAAAGAGCAACCTGAATATCCAGAAGTATCTCTCACTGATGAAAAGAAAGTCATCTAGACAACTGAAGAGATGGATTACCAGACCTCTTCTTTGAGAGCCTGATGCAGTAAGTATGGTTTGCACTGAACATCTTTTTTTTAAACCAAAACTTCAGGGATCCTCATCTTCTCACAAATTGGCATACACTATCCTGTTGGGGAAGCGTAAGAGCCTGGGGAAGATGAGCTAAGTAAGGTGAATAAAAGAGGTAGAGAGGGCTCTTCCACAAAGGAGAAAGTCTTCTGAGTGGGCCACCAAACACACCACTGGGGCCATGTGCTGAGAACAGCCCTCTGAGGAATATACTATTGACAAAAGAAAAGCAAATCAGCTTCAACTCTTGCGTTAATTTTAAATAATCAACAGTAGCTTCCTAGAGTGCTGTCCTGGAAAGGATTCTGAGACCAGGTTCCTGCTCAGTGGGGAGCCAAGCCATGACCAACTGGCAATGTCTGCCATGCACATGGGAAGAAGGCATAGTTACAACATCTGCCAGACCTATGCTGTCTTTCTTGAGAGCCTTGGCTCTGCTGCTTCTACAGTCCAAGTCCAATGGTATAACTCTCAAGACAGCATTAGCACTCAGCTGTGGAGGGAAGGATCTCAGATCACTGATGAAAAAGTCCAAGTTTCCTTCCTCCTTACAATCTACCCACGTCTCTCTAACCCCTGCGTTGATCTCTGCTTAATAAAGAGGCTCTTGAAGGCATTGTTGTAGTTCTTGTTAAAAGCTGTGTAAATCAGGGGGTTGAAGAAAGAATTGGAGTAGCCAAGCCACAGAAATATGCTTTTCCAGATGGAGGGCAGGCTGCAGGCACAGAGTGGACTGATGAGCTCCGTCAGGAAGAAGGGGATCCAGCACAGCACAAACACGCCAATCAGAATTCCCACCGTCATGGTTGCTCGCTTCTCCTTCTGCTCCCGCCAGGAGTCTCCGCTCGCCTGGAAGGCCACCGTTGCTCTGCAATGTGCCGTGAACACCATTTCGGCCTCATCAGGTGCTTCCTTTACCTTACAACAAAGAAAATCCCAGCACTTTGGGAGGCCAAGACGGGCGGATCACGAGGTCAGGAGATCGAGACCATCCTGGCTAACATGGTGAAACCCCCTCTCTACTAAAAAATACAAAAATCTAGCCGGGCGAGGTGGCGGGCGCCTGTAGTTCCAGCTACTCGGGAGGCTGAGGCAGGAGAATGGCATGAACCCGGGAGGCGGAGCTTGCAGTGAGCTGAGATCCGGCCACTGCACTCCAGCCTGGGCGACAGAGCGAGACTCCGTCTCAAAAAAAAAAAAAAAAAAAAAAAAAAAAAAAAAAAAAAACCCTCAAAAAAAAAAAAAAAAAAGAAAAAAAAAAGAAAATAATGGAATTAAAAAATAAAACAGAAAAACAAGGAAGAAGCTGAACAAACCAGAAAGACAACAACTCCTCTTAGACTTGTCAGAGAAGTGAGACCACAGGGCTAAATGCTGCTCCAAAAATGGTCAGGTGAATATAAAGCATCACCACTTACCAGAGCAAAAACCCACAACCAGAAACTTCTGCAAGAACCAGTGCTGGGGTAAGAAAACGTAACCTCTAATCTGACAAATTGCCAGAGGCTCAGTGTGGAAAAATCTGACAGTTAAAAAATCCAGGAAGACTTAGTCATGGAGTGGGGTAGAGGGTAGAGGTGTACATTTTTATGTTTTATTGTTTCCAGGGTCTCTATCAAGTCCTCACAGTAAATACTGGAGAAAAATCACCTTGTGCTTTTGGCAAGGGGAAGGGAAAGGAATCCATTTTGAAATATGCCAAACCATTCTGTTTTTTTTTTGTTTTTTTTTTTAGAGGCGGAGTCTTCACTCTGTCCCCCAGGCTGGAGTGCAGTGGCACCATCTCGGCTCACTGCAAGCTCCGCCTCCCGGGTTCACGCCATTCTCCTGACTCAGCCTCCCGAGTAGCTGGGACTACAGGCGCCCGCCACCGCGCCCGGCTAATTTTTTGTATTTTAGTAGAGACGGGGAGCAACAATGTTAGCCAGGATGGTCTCGATCTCCTGACCTCGTGATCCGCCCGCCTCGGCCTCCCAAAGTGCAGGGATTACAGGCGTGAGCCACCGCGCCCGGCCAACCATTCTGTTCTTAATAGGGCCTATCCTCATGAGAGTAACTTACCAGAGCCTAACCTGAGGGCTTTTATCAGAGCCCAGTCTACCTGGAGGAAGGGAAATTCCCACCTCCAGTCCCCTGTAGCCATCCTGCCCCACCTAAGGGGGAAGTAGGACTGAGAAGCACTAGTAAAGTTTACAGTCCAGGCACACAGGCTAAAAAACAACTGAGACCTAATCACAGGACTACAGAACACTTCCCCTTCTCCCATACCTCACCACCATATTAACTAAAGGTCCATCTACCACAGTTCCTTTTACCCAGTGCATCATGTCTACCTTTCAACAAAAAAATTACAAAGCACACTAAATGGCAAACAACACAGTTTGAAAAGACTGAACAAGCATGAAACCAGTCATAGATGGCTATGATGTGAGAATTATCAGACAAGGAATTTTTTTAAAACTATGATTAATAACAGCTTTAAAATAAAAAGAAGACAACATGCAAGAAAGATGAGTAATGTAAAGCAAAGAAATTGAAATTCTAAAAAAAGAATTTTTTAAATGTTAGATATCAAAACACCAACAGAAATGAAGTTTCCCTTTCATAGGTTCATTAGTAGACTGGGCACAGATGAGGAAGGAATCTCTGAACTTCAGGATATGACATTAGAAACTTTTGAAACCAAAACACAAATAGAAAAAAAGATGTATAAAAATAGAATAGTCCAGAGTGGTGAGACAACTACAAAAGTTGTAAATACACTTAATGAGAATACCAGAAGGAGAACAAAAGGAATATAAGCAGTATTTGAAGCAATGATGACTGAGAATGTCCCCTAGTTAATATCAGACACCAAGCCACAGATCCAAGGAGGTTAAAGAAGAATAAATACCGGATATAAAATACAGACACCTAGGCATGTCATATTTAAACTTGAGAAAAGCAAAAATAAAGACAAAAATCTTGGAAGAAGCCAAAGGGAAAACCTATAGATAGCAAAGATATGCATTACATCCAGCTTCTCTTCAGAAACCATACAAGCAAGAAGAGTGTGAAGTAAAATGTTTAAAGCATTGAGAGAAAAAAAATCCACCAACCTAGAATTCTATATCTTGGAAAATTATCCTTTAAAAATGAAGGAGAAAAAAAAAAACATTTATCAGACAAAAATCGAGGGAATTTGTTGCCAGTAGACCTGCCTTGGAAGAAGTGTTAAAGGAAGTTCTTCAGAAAAGGAAAATTATATATCAGAAACTCAGATTTGTGTAAAGAAAGGAAGAGCATCAGATAATTAATAAGTAAAGATAGAATAAAAACTTTTATTTTTCTTATTTGATCTAACAAGTTCAAAAAATAATAGCAACAATGTATTTGAAGATATATATATACACACATACACAAACACACTTATGTAAGCTATATGTAAGTGAAATGAATGATAGCAAGATACAAGAAATGGGAGCGAGGGATTAGAATTATTGTGTTATTATGAGGTATGTGTTCTACCCATGAAATAATATAGTGTTATTTGAAAATGGACCTGGATTAGTTGTAAATGTGTATTGCAAACTCAAGGGTCAACCACTAAAAAAAAAGTGAAGAAGTGTAACTAATATGCTAAAAATGGAGAGAGAAATGAAATAATATTCTCAATTAAAACTATAAAGGGCAGAGCTGTACACAGTGGCACAGACCTATAATCCCAGCTACTCAGGAGGCTGAGGCAGGAGGATTGCTTCAGGCTCAAGAGTTTGAGAACAGCCTGGGCAACATAACAAAATAAACAAACAAACAAGAAACCTACAAGGGGCAGAAAAAGAGTGCAAGAGAAAAATAGGAACAAAGAAAAAAGACAACAAATAGGAAACAGTAACAAAAATGGTAAATATTTATTTATGTCAGTAATCACCCCAAACATCATTGGTCTAAAGGCACCAACTAAAAGAGATTGTCAGAGTGGATCAAAAAACAAGATAACTACATGTTGTCTACAAGAAACCCACTTTAAACATAAAGACACATATAGATTAAATGTAAAGGGATGGAAAAAGATATACCATGCTAACACTAATCAAAAGAAAGAGGGAGTAGCTAATTTCATTTCAGGCAGAGCAAACTTCAAAGCAAAGAAAGTTATCAGAGACAGAGGGGAACATTACACAATGATAAAGTCAGTACTCCAAGAAGACATAACAATTTTTAATGTGTATGTGCTTAAAAACAGAACCAAAATATATGAGGCAAAAACTGATAGAACTGCAAGAAGGAACAGATGACTTCATTATTATAGTTGGAGACTTCAACACTTCTGTATGATAAATGGACAAATAGAGCAGGTAGAAAATCATTAAAGACATAGTTGAACTCAACAACACCATCAGTCACGTAATATAATTGACATCTATAGACTACACAGCCTACAACAGTAGATTACACATTCCTCTCAAGCTCACCTAGAACATTCACCAAGGCAGAACACATTTGGCCATAAAACACACTTTAACAAATTTAAAAGAAGAGAAAGCATACAAAGTCTGGCTTTTTTTCTTTCTTTCTTTCACAAAAGGAATAGAAAATCCTCAAATACTTGGAAACTTAAAAATCACTTTGAAATAGCACATGGGTCAAAGAAAAAAATTGATGAAAATTTTAAAATATTTTCAAGTAAATGAAAATGAAAACAAACATCAAAATTTGTGTGATGCTGCAAAATAGTACTTAGATGAAAATTTATAACACTTTATATATTTATATATATATTAGAACAAACATCTAAAATCATTAATCTAAGCTTTCACCTGAGGAAACTGATTAAAAAAAGGGCAAATTAAATCCAAAATAAGCAGAAGAAAAATAAAAATTAGAGCAGAAATCAACGTGTGAAAACAGGAAATCCATAGAGAAGACCAATGAAACCAAAAGCAGGTTCTTTGAATAAATAAATAAAATTAATAAACTCTAGCCAGGCTAAGAAAAAATCTACCAAATTATAATACCAGAAATGAAAGAGGAGATAACACTATAGATCCCATGGACATTAAATGGACAAAGGAGGCTGGGCATGGTGGCTCAAGTCTGTAATCCCAACACTTTGGGAGGCCAAGGCAGGTGGATCACAAGGTCAGGAGTTCGAGACCAGTCTGGCCAACATGGTGAAGCCCCATCTCTACTAAAAATACAAAAATTAGCTGGCTGTGGTGGTGTGTGCCTGTAATCCCAGCTACTCAGGAGGCTGAGACAGGAGAATCATTTGAACCCAGGAGGTAGAGGTTGCAGTGAGCTGAGATCATGCCACTGCACTCCAGCCTGGGTGACAGAGCAAGACTCCATCTCGGGATTAAAAAAAAAAAAAAAAAAGACAATGGATTGCTGTGAACAACTCTATGCTCACAAATTTGATAACGTAGATTAAATGGACCAATCCCTTCAAAGACACAAGCTTGAGAGACATAAGCCGCCAAAACTCACACAAGAAATAGAAAATCTGAATAGGCCCATAGTTACTAAATATAGTGAATTAATAATTAATAACCTTTCAAAACAGAGAACACCAAGCCCAGATTGATTCACTGGAAAACTCCGTTAAACATTTTAAGGAAGAAATTATACCAATTCTCAACAATCTCTTTCAGGAAATACAAACCGAAGGGAATACTTTCTAACACATTCTATGGGGCAACATTATCCTAATACCCAAATCAGCCAAGGACAGTAAAACTACAGATCAGTATCTCATGAACATGGATACAAAAATTCTCAACAAATATTACCAAATTAATCCAACAATGTACAGAAAGAAAATTATACACCACAATCAAGTGGAATTTATCCCAGGTATGCAATTCTTGTTCAACATTCAAAAATCAATTAATATAATATGGCACATCAATAGGCTAAAGAAGAAAAAAATGTATAAT